GGTTGCCATGGGCTACCGTGTGTAGCCAGCAGCCAGCGTGAGCGGCCAGCAGCCGCAGTGAGCGACCGTTCAGAAGCCGGCGACTGATCTGCCTCACCCAGGAAGAGCACAATGATGGTGCCAAGTTGGGCCAGTGAAGCAACATCCTCCACAACTAGATTGAAGAACAAAATGACAGCAACTTGTCTGTTCTCACTCCCCCAATTCCCCAGCACTGTTCCCATCCCCCCAATTCCCCAATAAAAATCTTAAAAAAAAAAAAAAAGAATTAACCAATTCTCTCCAAGTCTTGTTTTTACACCCACCTCTTCTGACTAGCAAATTACCTTTTTCCGTATCATCCTCCTGCTTCTATTTCCTCATCAAAACAATTGACATGTCGTATTAACAAAGAAGGAACCCCACCAAATCTCTGTACCAAGTGATGGTTGGTGATCATGGGGGTGTCACAAAACTCACTAGTGTCTAAAAATATCTTGCTGAGATCTTTACCAAAGGAAGATATAGAACATCTGGTGATGTGTTCAAGGTATGCAACAGGTTTTGAATGTTCAACAAGATCAACAAAACAGATTTGATGAGTTGTGTCAATTCTACTGCCTTGTAAGTTTCTGTCTAACTTCACAGCTGGAAGCATTTTTTGCAGCTAAGTCTTACAGGAACTGAGAAGGGTTTTTTTTTTTTTTTAAGCCAGAAGTCAATTTTGGTGTATTATATCTCCTAAAATACCATCTGAGCTGTTGGCTTTAACAGTGAATTGTGAGTCTAGTGGTAGCTTCTGTAGTAAAGACCCCCTTTATGTTTTTAAATGCCTTTTACTCATATATCTTCGACTGCAAACACATACCTATTAAAACATATTAGGAGTTCAGAAGGGGTATGGATTTCGGGGCAGTTATGATTAGATTACAGTTTACAATGTAATCATTACTGTCTGGCTTTGAATAGTAAAAAAGAGGCTTTGATATGTATGCTATAAGATAATTAAGCATGATATTTGGCAAAAGATAAAGATGATTATTAAAGACTTGTGACATCAGGTCAAACAAAATGCTACAAATCATGAAATTTTATCACAAGGATCCATGTTTAAGGAGTCAAAAAGATATTTTTCTATTGTCATTTTTCCTCTGAGAATGTCAGAAAGGAAATTGAATACAGTAGTATCTTCAATATTGAAATATACTAGGTAACTGCATTAGTTTACAAAGCAACATGAACATGTCCTTATCTTGTTTTGGAAGTGGGTTGCTAATAATAATATATTAAGGAAGCAAAGTCCATTCCATTTCCGGGACCAGGATGTTTCTCATGCCCTCAAGTATGAAAAGCTATGATGCTGGATTTGTTTCTTTCATAGAAATTGTCTCCTTGTTCCATATGCACAATTGGTTTAAAAGAACCAGTGGCAAAAATGTAAATTTAAGGGCCAGCCAAGCGACTCAGTTGGTTAAGAACTCACTCAAGAGTTTGAGCTCTGAGCAGCAGTGGTTCAATTCCTGGCCCGAGCTGAGCTACTGCTGAGCTGCCAACAGGTGACAGGATGACTCAGCTTAAAAAAAAAAAAGTAAATTTAAGACTAAAATTAAGCTAATCTCTGTGTTCACTTCCATTATTAATAAACCTAAACCAATTCATTAATTGATTATATAACTCAGCACAGCAACTAGTGTTAGTAGGCTTGAAAGTTTGGGGCAAAATTGGATATCTGTCTGGAAGATAGTAAGATAAATAATGTGAAATTGAATTCTAGCCTAGAAAGGCATGCTTCCTTTATGAATGTCTTACTTAGGGAGGGACTTGTCACACAGAGGGAGGAATGTGTAACAGTAAGCGTAGTGCATGGCTTAAAAATCAAGAGACAAATCTGTTCCCTGCAAATTACTTTCCATCTTTGATCCTCTCCATTAAATGTGAAATCATTAAAGATTCCCCTACCCAGAAATGAAATTGACTTTAAAGAAAAAGTGTTTAGACAGACAGATGTGGAGATACATAGATCGATCCATCCATCCCTCTTAACCTTTTCTGGGTTCCTTGGCTCTACCTGAAAGATTTCCCTTGAGCCTTTATTTGAATGTACTATGAAACCTGCAAAACAATAAAGGCTTTCGTCCCTTAATAGTTACCACGACTTGCTAAGTATAATCTCTACAAAACATTTTGGATAATTAGCTCAGCTCTTAAAAGTGAGCAGAAACCAGGAGGTGGTTCCCAAAACACCTATATATGAGAGAAGGAGTTTTCTGCTTTACTTTTCTGATTTTGATGAACATATTTCTCTGAAAAGTACTTTTTTTAATTTAGGAGAGAGGAAGTAAAGGATTTCCCAGGAGGAATACTTAGCAATAGTCATGTAGCTCCAAATGCAAGACAAAAACCCTTTGTAGCTGAACCTGGTGGGGAGGGAGACCGGTTGAAGAATGGCTGAAAGGCCACATCATAGAGTCCTTCTGATAAGTTTGGGTGCATTCATTCAGGATACTCACAAGAGTTAGAAATAGACCTTGAGTCCAGAAAACCAGCAGCTAAAGACCAGCTATCAAAAATGCTTACCTTCAAATTTCAATTTGGATTAGGTTATAAAAGAAAGCATTCTAGCAAGAGTATAGGTATAAAATGTTCGATTTTCAGATTCTCGTAAAAGATGAATCAAAGAATTTAATGTTTAACAGTTTGTTTTGGTAAAAAGTATGCAAGCTAAATGTGAGGGAAGGAAATGAGCTCTAACCAAGTGTCAGGAAAAGTGTGCACGTTGCTTTTGTGAACTTTGTGATAACACCACAAACGCCAAACACCCAGTAAGCCTGAAATACCTACAATGCAGAGAAACTAACGAAGTGGCAGAACTCTGATTTGTGTGCCCTAAAACTGCAGAACCAAAGGCACCACAGGGACATCCCGGTAGCAGCGTGTGTGACGCATTGCCCCTCCTGGTGCGGTGCTCTGTGGTCCTTTGGCTCTGCTCCAGGGGACCCTCTTATTGGATTTGGATTTGCTTAGTCTGGAAGTATCGACTTCTCCCCCTGCTCCTCGTGGGTCCCCCTGTGCTTATCAGGAGTGATAGTTGGTTCTTTTGCCCTTATCACTCTTTCATTGGTTTCCCCCAGTCATGTTGGTAATTATTAATGTAATGTAAATGTCTTTTCTTTCAGTCCTCCTCGCCCTCTGACTAACATGAATGACACAATGGTGAGCCACATGTCCTCCGGCGTGCCCACTCCCACCAAGAGGTATGTGTGGCTTGTGCCTCAGTCACCACTCCGAGTTGGGGACAGGCCTCTGGCCTGGGGAGCATACACAGTGCAAAAAGGGCTAGCTTTCTTTTTCCTCCTTGGACTGTATTTTAATTATTTTCTACTTTTTATCTTTTCTTTTCCCTGCTAACTCATAAATGTAGCAACTGAAGGAGTCTGCTTTTGAGTGGTGCCTGTGGTGGACGCTCTGCATTTGTGACAAGCAGTGAACATAGTGTCAAAGCAGATTAGGCATGTTTAAGATTTATTTATTTTTTTTAACATTAACATTTTGATGATTATGAATTTCACCAGTTTTGCATTTGAGCTCTTTCTGTGTCAAAGATGGATTCTGTGTCCTGATTAGACTGTGTAGATTGAGTTAATCTCTTATATTCTCCTTAATCATTCTGTATGTGATTCATAGACATTGAAGTTGAAAAGCCTGGGTCTCTCTCTTAGTTATATGAGGAGGTTCCTTTAGGGTCCTTCAGAGAACTAGAACTGTGTACTCCTTTCTCTTCTTTATTTAATTTACTTTCTCTAAAATTCTCTTAGGCAGAATTTAAAAGAACTATATAAAATGGCTTACTTTCTATTTGATTTAAGCTGTTCCCTGAGCAGAGCAATGCAGAAACTCCCTAAGGGACACAACCATTAAAGAATTATTTCTAACAGTCATCACTCAAAACAAAACAAAAACAAAAAACAAATTCCAACCCACTCCCCAAGTCCTTCCTGAAGTAAGCCACTTTGTGCCCTGTGTATGATTGCTTTGGATTAATTCAGCTATAGAAATGGCATCTGTTTAATAGTACTTTAACTTAATGTATTATATACAGCAGGTCCTCAAATAGCATCATTTTGTTCAGTGTCGTTTCATTATAGCATTTATGAGATGCCGTGGGAACTTAACTCTTGTTTATAGCGATTAACCTACGGTAAAAATTGGTTTCATTATAAATGGTTTCTCCACAGTTCCAAGAACCTACCCACGAGGTTAAGTGAGGACTTACTGTATCATACTTAAAACCAACTGTGTTTGTTCCCATTGGCTAAAACTCCTAGCAGTGTTTCCCAAACTTGACTGATGAGAAGAATCACCTGGGTCACTTATTAAAAATAAAACTACGTGAGACCACACCAGACCCAGTGGATCCTGAGATACCGAGAAGCTATACGTTTAACAAGTATTCCAGGTGATTCTTCTTATTAAGCAAGTTTTGAAAATAGCCTTAGAAGGAAGCTAAGCAGTAAACTATAGGGCTACCTTGGCATAGAGGATTTAGAGACTTGATAATACAAGTCCCTTGATATTATCAGAATGACCTGATAATACAGTGTTATCCCCATGGAAACTCAAGACCCTGACCAGGTAAGAGTCCTTGCCAACAGCCTTGTTGAAACATTATGAGCCAGGGAAGAGCCAAACCACTTCTGTGGGGCCGAGTTGAGTGGTACCATGTACCAGAGAAGGGGTCAGCAAACTTTTGAGACAGAAAAGCCAATCCTGTCCCTCACGACAATTTAAAAATTATTCAAGGGCTGGCCGAGTGGCGCGATGGTTAAGAACTGGCTTGGGATGCCAGAGGGCCCCGGTTCGGATCCCACATATAAGGGCCAGTGACACTGCCCTCCACAGCTGAGATGCTGAAGAATAGCTCAACCTGGAGCTGGACTGCCGTGAGTCGCCTGCGACGGCGTAGTATGCAGCCCCTGTGGTCGTGGGTTGCCATGGGCTACTGTGTGTAGCCAGCAGCCAGCGTGAGCGGCCAGCAGCTGCAGTGAGCAACCGTCCAGAAGCCGGCGACTGATCTGCCTCGCCTAGAAAGAGTGCAATAATGGTGCCAACTTGGGCCAGTGAAGCAACATCCTCCACAACTAGACTTCAGAACAAAAGGACAGCAACTGATCTGTTCCCATCCCTGATTCCCCAACACTCCTCCCCTCCCCCCAATTCCCCAATAAAATCTTTAAGAAAAAAGAAGTAAACTGTAGTGAGAGAACAGGTGGAGAAGCAATAGAATAATTTACGAATAATACCTTTTCAAGGAGCAACTGAAAGCTCCTGGAAGAATATAGAGTAATTAAACCTTTCCCATCTACCTAGATATGACAACAACCTGTGCTGCCCTTAGTCTTTAGTTTTTTATGTTAAACACCTGTAACCTTCAGATCCAGACCCAGAATCTAACTATCAGCTTAGGGATGTTTCCATTTCAAAACTAGGAAGACAAGACGGATCATTGAAAGAAGTCAACTTGTAGGTTATAAGTTGGTTTTATTTATTTATTTATTTTTTATAAGCTGAGCCATCCTGCCACCTGTTGGCAGCTCAGCAGCTGCTCAGCTCGGGCTGGGCATCGAACCACTGTTGCTCAGAGCTCAAACTCTTGAGCGAGCTCTTAACCAACTGAGCCACTCGGCTGGTCCTTATAAGTTAGGTTTAGCAACCCCACCTACTAGGGTTTCACTTCATCTGAGTTATTTCATTTATTAGTTTTGTCACTTAAGTCACCTGCGTCCATGAGGGCCCTAAGTACCTGGTGACCCAGGGCAGCAGAACTTCAGTGAGCACAGCTGAATGTAGCTGCTAGAAGCTGTTGGAGGGAGTGCATCTTTCTGGACAGTGTTTTGTTGCTTGAGAAGACTGAACAAAGGGACTCAGGATCAATAATGACCACAGACGCCTCCTAGAAGGACGGACCTTTAGGCTTGATGTGGCATCATTAGCCCAGGTTTAATAGTAAGTGGCCAGCTGCAATTGTCAGTCACAAAATCACTACCGGTTTTCGAAAATGGTTTCAGATAATATAGCACAGCCTGGATGAAGATTTTATTTTAAAGTTAGCATTTCAGCTAGCACCGCTTTCTAGGTAGACTTAGTCAATCCTAGAGGTGGCGATCACAGGCTGTGTAGAGGCTGACCAGCAGACCAAAGGCAGCCAAAGCCCTCAGCAGACCAGAGAGGAAGGCTGCACACTGTAACTTACCAAGAATACTGCTGGAGGAGAGGCTCCCCGGGAACAGGAGGCCCCATCCTAAAAATGTAGTCCTTTGGATTTTAGGAGATTTCATTTATATTTTGGAAGACATTATGATATAACATGCGGACATTAATAGCATAGTTTATAGATTTGGCTCTTCATGGCCTCAGCTACCAAAGAGTATAAATTTCCAGTTAACAATCTATTTACTTCCTCAAGGACTCACCAGTTGTTCTCTTCTCCTCTGAATGTCATCAGAAGTGTGTCTCTAGAGTCTGATGAGAGCCAGTATGTCGTCCCAGTCACAGAGCCTCCCTCTGCTGGGCAGAGAGTCCTCAAGGGGGATAAAGCTACTCTCCAGAAATCAGAGATTCCTTTTAGGACTCAAGATAAGACATACATCACTGAATTAGGCAAGAATATGCACAGTAATAAAAATGCAGGAAAAATTTTAGAGCCCCGGGTTACCTTTTCAGTAGGGAGTGCATAGAAAAAAATAATGATAGCCACCGTTATAAAAAATAAGACTATATTACATATTTGTCCAAATAGAAGATGGTCTCAAATGTAAGGGTTACTTCTTATAGAAGAAAACCTTATAATGGCAAAGATCGTGTGAGATACTATGAATTATGTTCCTGAGAGGTTCCACTTTAGGGATTTGCCCTGTATAATATTCTTCCAATATTTCCATACTGATATTTCTATAATTAAAAAGAAATTTTGTCTTTACCTTAGGCTAAATAGTTCCTGGAAATGTTATTGAAACTAAAATTTGGAAAAATATTAAACTGCTTTCTTTTAAAAGAGTCAGAATAGTACACCTGAAAGCCAACAGCAAAAACCTTTTACAACTTGAAAACAGAGGCTTAAAATCCCCCTCCCCTGTCTAATTTCCTCTGAGGTTTGCTTCTGTCTCTCTTCCTCCCCACGGTTCAGAATGTAAACTGTGATATTATGCTCTGTACTATTGTACTGTTTTAAGTCAGACCATCTATTGAGACCACTATGGAAAATGAAGCTAATATTTTTTAATGTCTTCTAAAGCTTTATCTTTATGAATATTTAAACATATAATTCTGTGGGCATTTCATATATCTGTGGCATTATCAAAGACCTTTAGTGTGAAGCTGTTGTTAGCTTTGTGCATTTAGTTGGCATAAGAGTATCAAGTCTTAATTTCAGGTCTTAACATTTAACTTTAAAAAGCATAAACCCAGTTAAGCAAGATGAAAACTTTCTAATGATCTCCTATATATCATTGTGCTTATAGTTAACCATACTGTACTGTACCCTTAAAAATTTAAGAGGATAGAGCTCATGTTATGTGTATTTATTCCAATAAAACTAAATAAATTAAAAGAAAAAAAAAGCACAAATCCAGAAAGGCAAAAGCAGAAAGGGAAGGGCAGAAATGTCCTTGGATCACAAAAGCATCTAAAATCTCACCAGGATGCCCTCCATCTCTTGGCTTCTCTCCGTGTGCCGTCTTCCTTCCCCCCTATCATGAAACAGCTACCTCTCAGTGCAGCCAGTGACTTCAGACACACATCCACAGCCTCGCTACTCAAGAGACTGTGCTTCTCTTGCCATGGATGAGAAAACTCCAAGGTTTCTATTACTGCTCATCCTTGTGTGTATGTGATAGGTTATACCGTCAAGAACGGAAGAGAAAGGTCCTGGAAAACGACAGTAACAGAGGTCGTTTGCAGACTCCTGGTTTACTACCCAGCACAGCTGTGTGCAAAAGTGTGTACATGCCCACACACACTTCCCAGACACATTCCCCGTTCCAGAGTTCTCCTTGTTTACATCGTTCAGCTCTCCATATAGAGTTGCAAATGCACATATATCTTTCCCAGAATCCTGTCCGCCTCCTGTAGACAGCCTGGGGTCCCAGATATCTAGGTTATGTACATTTGTCCAGATCAGGTCTAGGTATGTCTTTTTGTGGTTCAGTAACCCATTCTACCATGGACTGAATGATATATTTTAAGCACTCAAACACTC